AACACAAAGAGGGAAAAAACAAAAACAAGGGGACTTCGAGCCCCCCCTGCATTCACTACATACCCATGACACGACACCTAAGAACCACAGCATCCAAACCAATAAGTCAGGTGATGGGGCACATGACCCTCTATGAACAATAGAGCTAATCAAGCCTATTGTTAAGCAATGGCCCTCTTTTGCATGTGACTAACCTCTTTGTCCACCATGTGGAGGCAGTGCTCTTAAGGCTGAGTTCACCTGAAACTCAGTCTCTTGGACGAGAGAAAAAACATTTCACTAAAGAAGAACCATCCAGGATTCCAGAGTACCTACTTATTTTTTCTTTTTGATCAAATGAATAAAGGCTGACCTTTAACCTCCAGGATGAAGCTGACATCACGACTCTGGTTTCCATTCTGCACATGAATGGTGTAGTTTCCACTGTCCTCCTTCTTGGCACGAATTAATGTGAGAATGCTCATGTAGCTGTGAAGAGCAACAACAGAGGAACCTGCTATAATTAAACAGTAACAGAAGCTCACAGCAGCAGTAAACCCTAATCAGAGGGTTAGACAATGTGTGGGAATGTTACCCTGAAGTTGTCATTAATGGAGACTCACCTGATGTCACTGATCTGCTGCAGGCTGGTGGAGATCTCAGCAGTTACATCACCGAGAGGAACGCCATCTTTGAGCCAAGTGACATGAGCATCGGGAAAGGAGTCGATCTTTGCTCTGAACTCCCGGACATCATCCAGCTCAGTAGATTCATAATCCCCGAACTCCGGCTGGATGGACACAAATTTACTCGCTATTGGAAAAAGAGAGGTTGACAGATGATTAGCAATTACTCTCCAATAYTTTAAGACAACACAATATTTACTGTGAATGTAGAAAACACTGATTCATACCAAACACTTGGATGGCAAGTTGCTTTGTCCGACTTTCATTAGAAATAATGTCCGTAATGGAACAGGAGTAGGTTCCACTGTCTTTGGTTGTGGCTTGAGGAATTGTTAGGGTATACAGGATCTCTTGGTCTCTCTTATTTTCACGGACAGTTTTGCTGCCACGGTTGACCTGTCAAAGAAAACAGAGCATCCAGAACTTTGATACCAACTCTACTTTAAAATGTGTCAAATCCATTGTGCTTCTCAGCGTGACTTTACACCATACCAGCTTTCCAGGGTATTTCCAGTGGTCCTCCAATATGTCAGATCCTCGAGCTAGACAGTTGACAGTAATAGTGTCTCCCACCAGTAGTGTGGACTTTTTGGCTGACAGCTCAACATTCAAGGCACCTAGTAAAGAACGATTGGTACCAGTTAAATGTTACTGTCAGGCTGAAGAGACAAAAACATACTAATGAGAAAATTAAACATATTTCATTCGAGACGTCACAAACATAGGAACACACACCTATCACACCATGTACGATGTATTCACTGCTGAAGTGCTCTTCTCCTTGTATGACAGCCTTACAAACATATGTTCCTGCGGTAAAGATCCCCAAAGCACCTCTTTTACTGTCGTAAACACTTGGCACAGGCTGCTGTGTGTCAACATTCACGAGCGTCACGTGAGCTTGGGGGTTAGACACCCTACATGGTATCTCCATCTCCTCYTAGTCAGTCAGGACATGGTTTAGATAATGCCCCAGTGATGGCACAAAAGGAGTATTGGGATCTACGTTGGGACAAAAGAAGTCCATCAAACCAGAAAACAAAGTAAAATATCTAAAAGATGGAGAATGTTGTTGACTCCATACCTGGTACATAGATGTAGATGCTGCTTTCCTCTGTGTCGCCTGTGCTGTTTGCGCTGTAGAAGCATGTATAGTAGCCAGTGTGCGTTACTGTTGCACTGTCGACGGTGATGGTGGTGACAAACAGACCGCTGCTATCCTCTTGAGTTTGCTCAGGCATATCAAATGGCATATCCCATCCCAGCCGAGCCACTCCTCGACACGTCAAGCTGAACGACGTGTGAAGAGGCACCACCATCTCATCCACATCCGGCAGCAACACGGGGGCCGAGGAAGGAGGGATCATCACTCCAGCAGAAACTGGAAAATAAAGCAACATCGAGAACCTTCGATCATATCTATCTGCCATTTATCAGGCTCTATTTATCTACTGATCTCACCTCTCACTTTAATGGAAAAAGAGAACTGGGTTCTGTGAGAGCCACACACGACTGTAATGGTGTAATTTCCATTGTCTTTCTCCAGAGGATGGCGGAACATCAGAACGCTTTCATACCTGTGAGAGGGACAAACACTTTATGAGCAGTCACTTAAAGGAACATTGACATTTTGGCAAATTAGTTTTCCTGAAAGGGATCCCCGATTAGTTGTAACATTAGACTTTATTTAATAAACATACATTTTAACTGTAAGAATAACGACTGTAAAAATACTGTAGGATGTTTAGTTTTTATTATTTTTAAACTAAAAGTTCAAAAATATATTACACGGACGGGGCCATTTTATTTACATGCAAAGCATTCTGGGTAAATGATGA